AAGGCAAGCTCCTGGACCAGGCAAGCTCCCTTGACCAGGGCAAGCTCTTGGACCAGGATAGCTCCTGGACCAGGCAAGCTCCTGGACCAGGCACGCTCCTGGACCATGCAAGCTCCTAGACCAGGCAAGCTCCTGGCCTAGGCAAGCTTCTGGACCAGGCAAACTCGTGGACTAGGCAAGCTCTTCGACCAGGCAAGCTCTTGGACCACGCAAGCTCTTGGACCAGGCAAGCTCTTGGACCAAGAAAGCTCCTCGACCAGGAACGCTCCTGGACCAGGCAAGCTCCTAGACCAGGCAAGCTCCTAGACCAGGCAAGCTGCTGGACTAGGCAAGCTCCTAGACCAGGCAAGCTCCTGGACCAGGCAAGCTCTTGGACCAAGGCAAGCTCCTAGTCCAGGCAAGCTCCTTGACCAGGCAAGCTCCTGGACAACACAAGCTCCTGGACCACGCAAGCTCTTGGACCAGGCACGCTCATGGACGAGGCAAGCTCTTGGACCAGGGCAGGCTTCTGGACCAAGCAAGCTCTTGGCACAGGAACGCTCCTGGACCAGGCAAGCTTGTGGACCAGGCAAACTCGTGGACCAGGAACGCTCCTGGACCAGGCAAGCTCCTAGACCAGGCAAGCTCCTAGACCAGGCAAGCTGCTGGACTAGGCAAGCTCCTGGACCAGGCAAGCTCCTGGACCAGGCAAGCTCTTGGACCAGGCAAGCTCCCTAGACCAAGCAAGCTCCTTGACCAGGCAAGCTCCTGGACCACGCAAGCTCCTGGACCACGCAAGCTCTTGGACCAGGCACGCTCCTGGACCAGGCAAGCTCTTGGACCAGGCAGGCTTCTGGACCAGGCAAACTCGTGGACCAGGAACGCTCCTGGACAGGCAAGCTCCTAGACCAGGCAAGCTCCTAGACCAGGCAAGCTGCTGGACTAGGCAAGCTCCTGGACCAGGCAAGCTCCTAGACCAGGCAAGCTCTTGGACCAGGCAAGCTCCTGGACCAGGCAAGCTCCTTGACCAGGCAAGCTCCTGGACCAAGCAAGCTCCTGGACCCACGCAAGCTCTTGGACCAGGCAAGCTCCTGGACCAGGCAAGCTCCTGGACCAGGCAAGCTAATGGACCATGAAAGCTCGGTGGACAAGGCAAGCTCCTGGACCAGGCACGCTCATGGAACAGGCAAGCTCCTGGACCAGGCAAGCTTCTGGACCAGGCAAACTCGTGGACCAGGAACGGCGCTTGGACCAAGCAAGCTCCTAGACAAGGCAAGCTCCTAGACCAGGCAAGCTGCTGGACTAGGCAAGCTCCTGGTCCAGGCAAGCTTCTGGACCAGGCAAGCTCTTGGACGAGGCAAGCTCCTGGACCAGCAAGCTCCTTGACCAGGCAAGCTCCTGGACCACGCAAGCTCCTGGACCACGCAAGCTCTTGGACCAGGCACACTCCTGTACCAGGCAAGCTCTTGGACCAGGCAGGCTTCTGGACCAAGCAAGCTCTTGGAACAGAAGGCAAGCTCCTGGACCAGGCAAGCTCCTTGACCAGGCAAGCTCCTGGACCAGGATAGCTCCTGGACCAGGCAAGCTCCTGGACCAGGCACGCTCCTGGACCATTGCAAGCTCTTAGACCAGGCAAGCTTTCTGGACCAGGCAAGCTTCCGGACCAGGCACGCTCTTGGACTAGGCAAGCTCCTAGACTAGGCAAGCTCCTAGACTAGGCAAGCTCCTGGACCAGGCAAGCTCCTAGACCACACAAGCTCTTGGACCAGACAAGCTCTTGGACAAGGCAAGCTCCTGGACCAGGCAAGCTCCTGGACCAGGCAAGCTCCTCGACCACGCAAGCTCCTGGACCAGGCAAGCTCTTAACCCAGACACGCTCCTGGACCAGGCAAGCTCTTGGACCAAGCAGGCTTCTGGACCAAGCAAGCTCTTGGACCAGGCAAGCTCTTGGACCATGAAAGCTCCTGGACCAGGCAAGCTCTTGGACCAGGCACGCTCCTGGACCAGTCAAGCTCATGGACCAGGCAAGCTCGTGGATCACGCACGCTCCTGGACCAGGCAAGCTGCTGGACCAGGCAAGCTCTTGGACTAGGCAAGCTCTTGGACCACGAAAGCTCCTAGACCAGGCAAGCTCCTGGACCAGGCAAGCTAACGGACCAGGAAAGCTCCTGGACAAGGCAAGCTCCTGGACCAGGCACGCTCGTGGAACAAGCAAGCTCCTGGACCACGCAAGCTTCTGGACCAGGCAAACTCGTGGACTAGGAACGCTCCTGGACCAAGCAAGCTCCTAGACCAGGCAAGCTCCTAGACCAGGCAAGCTGCTGGACCAGGCAAACTCCTAGACCAATCTCCACGAGCTTGCCTTGTCCAGGAGCTTTCATGGTCCGTTAGCTTGACTGGTCCAGGAGCTTGCCCGGTCCAGGAGCTTGTCTGGTCCAAGAGCTTGCGTGGTCGAGGAGCTTGCCTAGTCTAGGAGCTTGCCTGGTCCAGGAGCGTGCGTGGTACAGGAGCTTGCCAAGTCCAGGAGCTTGCAATGTCCAGGAGCTTGCCTGGTCCAGGAGCTTGCCCTCGTCTAGGAACTTGCCTGGTCCAGGGAGCGTGCCCGGTCACGAGCTTGCTTGGTCCAGGAGCTTCCTTGGACCGGGAGTTTGCCTGGTCCAAGATATTGCCTGGTCCGAGAGCTTGCCTTGTCCAGAAGCTTGCGTGGTCCAGGAGCTTGCCAGGTCCAGGAGCTTGCTTGGTCTAGATGCCTGCCTGGTCCAAGAGCTTGCGTCGTCCAGGAGCTTGCCTGGTCCAGGAGCTTGCTTGGTCCAGAAGCGTGCCTGGTCCAAGAGCTTGCCTAGTCCAGGAGCGTGCCTGGTCCAAGAGCTTGCATGGTCTAGGAGCTTGCCTCGTCCAGGAGCTTGCCTGGTCAAGGAGCGTGCTTGGTCCATGAGGTTGCCTGTTCCAGGAGCGTGCCTAGGCTAGGAGCGTGCCTGGTCCACGAGCGTGCCTGGTCCAGGAGCTTGCGTGGTCCAAGAGCTTGCCTGGTCCAAGAGCGTGCCTGGTCCAAGAGCTTGCCTGGTCCAGGAGTGTGCCTGGTCCACGAGTGTGCCTGGTCCAGGAGCTTGCTTGGTCCAGGATCTTGCCTGGTCCAAGAGCCTGCCTGGTCCACGAGCTTGCCTAGTCCAGGAGCTTGCGTGGTCCAGGAGCTTGCTTGGTCCAGAAGCCTGCCTGGTCCAAGAGCTTGCCTAGTCCACGAGCTTGCCTGGTCAAGGAGCTTGCCTGGTCTAGCAGCTTGCCTGGTCCAGGAGCTTGCGTGTTCCACGAGCTGCCCGGTCTAAGAGCTTGCGTGGTTTAGGAGCTTGCCTGGTCCAGAGCTTGCCTGGTCCAGGAGCGTGCCCGGTCCATGAGCTTGCCTGGTCCAGGAGTTTGCCTGGTCCAGGACCTTGCCTGGTCTAGGAGCTTGCCTGGTCCAATAGCGTGCCTGGTCAACGAGCGTTCCTGGTCCAGGAGCTTGCGTGGTCCATGAGCTTGGCTGGACCAGGATCTTGCCTGGTCCAGGAGCTTGCCTTGTCCAGCAGCTTGCCCGGTCATGAAGCCTACCTGGTCCAAGAGCTTGCCTGGTCCAAGAGCGTGCCTTGTCCAAGAGCTTGCGTGGTCCAGGAGCTTGCGTGGTCTAGGAGCTTGCCTGGTCCAGGAGCGTGCCTGGTCTAGGAGCTTGCCTGGTCAAGGAGCTTGCCTGGTCCACGAGCTTGCTCGGTCCACGAGCTTGCCTGGTCCAGGAGCTTGCCTGGTCCAGGAGCTTGCCTGGTCTAGGATCTTGCCTGGTCCAGGACCGTGCCTGGTCCACGAGCTTGCATGGTCCGGGAGCTTGGCTGGTCCAGGAGCTTGCCTGGTCCAAGAGCTTGCCTGGTCCAAGAGCTTTTGTCGTTTAGGAGCATGCCCTGTCCAGGAGCTTGGCTGGTCCACGAGCATGGCTGGTCCACGAGCTTGGCTGGTCTAGGAGCTTGCTTGGTCCAGGACCTTGCCTGGTCTAGGAGCTTGCCTGGTCCAGGAGCGTGCCTGGTCGAGGAGCTTGCCTGATCCAGGAGCTTGCCTGGTCCAGGAGCTTGCCTCGTCCAAGATCTTGCCTGGTCTAGGAGCTTGCCAGGTCAAGGAGCGTTCGTGGTCCATTGAGCTTGCCTGGTCTAGGAGCTTGCGCTGGTCCAGGAGCTTGCCTCGTCCAAGATCTTGCCTGGTCCAGGAGCGTACCTGGTCCACGAGTTTGCCTGGACCAGGAGCTTGCCTGGTCCAAGAGCTTGCCCGGTCTAGGAGCTTGCCGGGTCCAGGAGCGTGCCTGGTCCAGGAGCTTGCCTAGTCCAGGAGCTTGCCTGGTCCAAGAGCTTGCCTGGTCCAGGAGCTTTGCCTGGTCCAGGAGCTTGCCTGTTCCAGGAGCGTGCCTGGTCCAGGAGCCTGCCCTGTCCTAGGAGCTTTCTTGGTCTGTTAGCTTGCAATGGACCAGGCAAGCTCCAGGATCAGGCAAGCTCCAAGACCAGGCAAGCTCCTGGACCAGGCAAGCTCCTAGACGAGGCAAGCTTATGGACTAGGCACTCTCCTGGACCAGACACATTCCAGGACCACGCACGCTCCTAGACAAGGCCAGGCAAGCTCCTTGACGAGGCAAGCTCTTGGACTAGGCAAGCTTGTGGACTAGGCAAGCTGTTGGACCAGGCAAGCTCTTGGACCAGGCAAGCTCCTTGACCAAGCACGCTCCTAGACGAGGCAAGCTCATGGACTAGGCACGCTCCTAGACAAGACACATTCCAAGACCAGGCACGCTCCAGGACCAGGCCAGCTCCTAGACCAGGCAAGCTCCTTGATGAGGCAAGCTCCTGGACCAGGCAAGCTTGTGGACCCGGCATGCACCTGGACCTGACAAGCTCTTGCACCTGGCAAGGTCTTGGACAGTGAACCTCCAGGACAAGGCAAGCTCTTGGACCAGGCAAGCTCCTGGACCAGGCAAGCTCCTCGACCAAGGACGCTCCTGGACAAGACAAGCTCTAGGAAGAGGCTAGCTCGTGGACCAGGCAAGCACCTGGACCAGGCACGCTCCTGGACCAGGCAAGCTCCTGGACCAGGCACGCTCTTGGACCAGGCACGCTCCTGGACCAGGCAAGCTCCTGGACCACGTCCATGTCCACGTCCACATCCACGTCCACGTCCACGTCCATTTCTACGTCCACGTCCACGTCCACTTCCACGTCCACGTCCATGTCCACGTCCACGTCCACGTCCACGTCCACGTCCACGTCCTCGTCCTCGTCCACGTCCACGTCCACGTCCACGTCCACGTCCACGTCCACGTCCACGTCCAGGTCCACGTCCACGTCCACGTCCACGTCCACGTCACGTCCACGTCCACGTCCACGTCCATGTCCTCCACGTCCACTGTCCAGGTCCATGTCCAGGTCCACGCTCCACGTCCACCTCCACGTGCACGTCCATGTCCAGGTCCACGTCCACGTCCACCTCCACGTCCACCTCCAAGTGCACGTCCACGTCCAGGTCCATGTCCATGTCCACGTCCACGTACACGTCAACGTCCAGGTCCAGGTCCAGGTCCACGTCCACGTCCACGTCCACGTCCACGTCCATTTCTACGTCCACGTCCACGTCCACGTCCACGTCCATGTCCTTCACGTCCACGTCCATGACCTCGTCCACGTCAACGTCCAGGTCTAGGTCCACGTCCACGTCCACATCCACGACCACGTTCCACGACCACGTCCACGTCCACGTTCACGTCCACGTCCACGTCCACGTCCACGTCCACGTCCTCGTCCTCGTCCACATCCACGTCCAGGTCCACGTCCAGGTCCACGTCCACGTCCACGTCCACGTCCACGTCCACTTCTACGTCCAGGCACGTCCACGTCCACGTCCATGTCCTCCACATCCACGTCCACGTCCTCGTCCACGTCAACGTCCAGGTCCAGGTCCACGTCCACGTCCACGTCCACGACCACGTCCACGACCACGTCCACGTCCTCCACGTCCACGTCCACGTCCACGTCCACGTCCACGTCCTCCACGTCCACGTCGTCCTCCACGTCTCCGTCCACGTCCACCTCCACGTCCATTTCCACGTCCACGTCCACGTCCATTTCCACGTCCACGTCCACGTCCACGTCCACGTCCACGTCCACGTCAACGTCCACATCCACGTCCACGTCCACGTCCACGTCCACGTCCCCGTCCACGTCCCCGTCCACGTCCACGTCCAAGTCCGCGTCCACGTCCACGTCCGCGTCCGCGTCCACGTCCGCGTCCACGTCCACGTCCGCGTCCGCGGCCACGTCCGCGTCCCCGTCCACGTCCGCGTCCGCGTCCACGTCCGCGTCCGCGGCCACGTCCACGTCCACGTCCACGTCCACGTCCACGTCCAGGTCGTCCACGTCCACGTCCACGTCCACGTCTGTCCTCCACGACCACGTCCACGTCCCCATCCATGTCCACGTCCACGTCCACGTCCACGTCCAGGTCCACGTCCACGTCCACGTCCACGTCTACGTACACGTCCACGTCCACGTCCACGTCCTCGTCCTCCACGTCCACGTCCACGTCCTCCACGTCCACGTCCTCCACGTCCACATCCATGTCCACGACCACGTCCACGTCCATGTCTACGTCCACGTCCACGACCACGTCCACGTCCTCGTCCACGTCCACGTTCACGTCCATGTCCACGTCCACGTCCACGTCCATGTCCACGTGCATGTGCACGCCGACGTCACGTCCACGTCCATTTCTACGTCCACGTCCACGTCCATGTCCATGTCCACGTCCACGTCTACGTCCACGTCCATGTGCAAGTCCACGTCCACGTCCACGTCCACGTCGACGTCGACGTCGACGTGCACGTCCACGTCCACGTCCAAGTCGAAGTCCACGTCCACGTCCACGTCCACGTCTACGTCCATGTCCGTCCATGTCCACGTCCACGTCCACGTCCACGTCCACGTCCACGTTCATGTCCACGTCCACGTCCACGTCCACGTCCACGTCCACGTCCATGTCCTACACGTCCACGTCCACGTCCTCGTCCTCGTCCACGTCCACGTCCACGTCCATGTCCTACACGTCCACGTCCACGTCCATTTCTACGTCCACGTCCACGTCCACGTCCACGTCCACGTCCTCGTCCACGTCCACGTATACGTCCATGTCCACGTCCACGTCCACGTCCACGTCCACGTCCATGTCCTCCACGTCCACGTCCACGTCCACGTCCACGTCCACCGTCCACGTCAACGTCCCACGTCCACGTCCACCTCCACGTTCACGTCCACGTCCACGTCCACGTCTACGTCCATTTCTACGTCCACGTCAACGTCAACGTCCACGTCCACGTCCCACGTCCATGTCCTCCACGTCCAATGTCCACGTTAACGTCCAGGTCCACGTCCACGTCCACGTCCACGTCCACGTCCACGTCCACGTCCACGTCCACGTCCACGTCCTCGTCACGTCCACGTCCACGTCCACGTCCACGTCTACGTCCTTCGTCCTCGTCCACGTCCACGTCCACGTCCACGTCCATGTCCTCCTCGTCACGTCCACGTCCACGTCCTCGTCCTCGTCACGTCCACGTCCACGTCCATGTCCACGTCCATGTCCTCCACGTCCACGTCCACGTCCACGTCCACGTCCACGTCAACGTCCAGGTCCACGTCCACGTCCACGTCCACGTCCACGTCCCATTTTTTACGTCCACGTTTACGTCCACGTCCACGTCCACGTTCCACGTCCATGTCCACGTCCACGTCCATGTCCACGTCCATGTCCACGTCCAGGTCCACGTCCACGTCCACGTCCATTTCTACGTCCACGTCCACGTCCACGTCCACTTCCACGTCACGTCCACGTCCATGTCCACGTCCACGTCCATGTCTACGTCCACGTCCATGTCCACGTCCAGGTCCAGGTCCACGTCCACGTCCACGTCCATGTCCACGTCCACCTCCACGTCCACGTCCACGTCCACCTCCATGTCCACGTCCACGTCCACTTCCACGTCCACGTCCACGTCCACTTCCACCTCCACGTCCACGTCCACGTCCACAACCACGTCCACGTCCACGTCCATTTCTACGTCCACGTCCATTTCTACGTCCACGTCTATTTCTACGTCCACGTCCACGTCCACGTCCACGTCCACGTCCATTTCGACGTCCACGTCCACGTCCATTTCCACGTCCACGTCCATTTCCACGTCCACGTCCACGTCCACGTCCACGTCCACGTCCACGTTCACGTCCACGTCCACGTCCATTTCTACGTCCACGTCCACGTCCACTTCCACGTCCACGTCCATGTCCACGTCCACGTCCACGTCCATTTCTACGTCCACGTCCACGTCCACTTCCACGTCCACGTCCATGTCCACGTCCACGTCCACGTCCACGTCCCCGTCCATGTCTACGTCCAGGTCCACATCCAGGTCCAGGTCCACGTCCACGTCCACTTCGACGTCCACGTCCACGTCCACGTCCACGTCCATGTCCACGTCCACCTCCACGTCCACGTCCATTTCTACGTCCACGTCCACGTCCACGTCCAAGTCCACGTCTATGTCCACGTCCACGTCCACGTCCACGTTCACGTCCATTTCTACGTCCACGTCCACGTCCATTTCCACGTCCACGTCCACGTCCATGTCCACGTCCACGTCCATGTCCACGTCCACGTCCATGTCCACGTCCACGTCCATGTCCATGTCCACGTCCACGTCCATGTCCACGTCCACGTCCACGTCCACGTCCACGTCCACGTCCATGTCTACGTCCACGTCCACGTCCAGGTCCAGGTCCAGGTCCACGTCCACTTCGACGTCCACGTCCACGTCCACGTCCACGTCCACGTCCACGTCCACGTCACTCTACGTCCACGTCCATTTCTACGTCCACGTCCACGTCCATTTCCACGTCCACTTTCCACGTCCACGTCCACGTCCACGTCCACGTCCATTTCCACGTCCACGTCCACGTCCACTTCCACGTCCACGTCCATGTCCACGTCCACTTCCACGTCCACGTCCACGTCCACGTCCATTTCTACGTCCACGTCCACGTCCACTTCCACGTCCACGTCCATGTCCACGTCCACGCCCACGTCCACGTCCCGTCCACGTCCACGTCCATGTCTACGTCGAGGTCCACGTCCAGGTCCAGGTCCACGTCCACGTCCACTTCGACGTCCACGTCCACGTCCACGTCCACGTCCACGTCCACGTCCACGTCCACGTCCACGTCCATTTCTACGTCCACGTCCACATCCACGTCCTACGTCCATGTCCACGTCCACGTCCACGTCCATGTCCATGTCCACGTCCATGTCCATGTCCACGTCCACGTCCACGTCCACGTCCACATCCACGTCCATTTCTACGTCCACGTCCACGTCCACGTCCACGTCCACGTCCATTTCGACGTCCACGTCCACGTCCACGTCCAGGTCCATGTCCACGTCCACGTCCATGTCCATGTCCACGTCCATGTCCATGTCCACGTCCACGTCCACGTCCATGTCCATGTCCACGTCCACGTCCATGTCTACGTCCAGGTCCACGTCCAGGTCCAGGTCCACGTCCACATCCACTTCGACGTCCACGTCCACGTCCACGTCCACGTCCATGTCCACGTCCACGTCCACGTCCACGTCCATTTCTACGTCCACGTCCACTTCCACGTCCATTTCCACGTCCACGTCCACGTCCACGTCCACGTCCACGTCTACGTCCACGTCCACGTCCATTTCTACGTCCACGTCCACGTCCACTTCCACGTCCACGTCCACGTCCACGTCCACGTCCACGTCCATTTCTACGTCCACGTCCACGTCCACTTCCACGTCCACGTCCATGTCCACGTCCACGTCCACGTCCACGTCCACGTCCACGTCCATTTCTACGTCCAGGTCCACGTCCAGGTCCAGGTCCACGTCCACGTCCACTTCGACGTCCACGTCCACGTCCACGTCCACGTCCATGTCCACGTCCACGTCCACGTCCACGTCCATTTCTACGTCCACGTCCACGTCCACGTCCACGTCCATGTCCACGTCCACGTCCATGTCCATGTCCATGTCCACGTCCATGTTCATGTCCACGTCCACGTCCACGTCCATGTCCACGTCCACGTCCACGTCCATTTCTACGTCCACGTCCACGTCCACGTCCACGTCCACGTCCATTTCGACGTCCACGTCCACGTCCATGTCCAGGTCCACGTCCACGTCCACGTCCATGTCCACGTCCACCTCCACGTCCACGTCCACGTCTACCTCCACGTCCACGTCCACGTCCACTTCCACGTCCACGTCCACGTCCACTTCCACCTCCACGTCCACGTCCACGTCCACAACCACGTCCACGTCCACGTCCATTTCTACGTCCACGTCCATTTCTACGTCCACGTCCAGTTCTACGTCCACGTCCACGTCCACGTCCACGTCCACGTCCATTTCGACGTCCACGTCCACGTCCATTTCCACGTCCACGTCCACGTCCACGTCCACGTCCACGTCCATTTCTACGTCCACGTTCACGTCCACTTCCACGTCTACGTCCACGTCCATTTCTACGTCCACTGTCCATTTCTACTTCCACGTCCAGTCACGTCCACGTCCACGTCCACGTCCACGTCCAGTCCATTTCGACATCCACGTCCACGTCCCACGTCCATTTCCACGTCCACGTCCATTTCCACGTCCACGTCCACGTCCACGTCCACGTCCACGTCCACGTCCATTTCTACGTCCACGTCCACTTCCACGTCCACGTCCATGTCCACGTCCACGTCCACGTCCATTTCTACGTCCTTGCCACGTCACTTCCACGTCCACGTCCATGTCCACGTCCACGTCCGTTGTCCACGTCCACGTCCATGTCTACGTCCAGGTCCACGTCGAGGTCCAGGGTCCACGTCCACGTCCACTTCGACGTCCACGTCCACGTCCACGTCCACGTCCATGTCCATGTCCACGTCCACGTCCACGTCCATTTCTACGTCCACGTCCACGTCCACGTCCATGTCCACGTCCACGTCCACGTCCATGTCCATGTCCACGTCCATGTCCATGTCCACGTCCACGTCCACGTCCATGTCCACGTCCACGTCCACGTCCATTTCTACGTCCACGTCCATTTCGACGTCCACGTCCACGTCCACGTCCATTTCCACGTCCACGTCCACGTCCACGTCCACGTCCACGTCCACGTCCACTTCCACGTCCATTTCTATGTCCACGTCCACGTCCACTTCCACGTCCACATCCATGTCCACGTCCACGTCCACGTCCACGTCCACGTCTATTTCTACGTCCACGTCCACGTCCACTTCCACGTCCAGGTCCATGTCCACGTCCACGTCCACGTCCACGTCCATGTCTACATCCAGGTCCACGTCCAGGTCCAGGTCCACGTCCACGTCCACTTCGACGTCCACGTCCACGTCCACGTCCACGTCCACGTCCATGCCCACGTCCACGTCCACGTCCACGTCCATGTCCACGTCCATGTCCACGTCCACGTCCACGTCCATGTCCATGTGTACGTCCACGTCCACGTCCATGTCTACGTCCACGTCCGCGTCCACGTCCACGTCCATGTCCACGTCCATGTCCTCGTCCATGTCCACGTCCAGGTCCACGTCCAGGTCCACATCCACGTCCACGTCCACTTCCACGTCCACGTCCACGTCCACGTCCACGTCCAGGTCCACGTCTAGGTCCACGTCCAGGTCCACGTCCACGTCCAAGTCCACGTCCACGTCCACGACCACGTCCACGTCCACGTCCACGTCCTTTACGTCCTCGTCCACGTCCTCCACGTCCTCGTCCACGTCCTCCACGTCCACGTCGTCCACGTCCACGTCCAAGACCACGTCCACGTCCATGTCCACGACCACGACCACGTCCATGTCCACGTCCACGTCCATGACCACGTCCACGTCCATGTCCACGTCCACGACCATGACCACGTCCACGACCACGACCACGTTCACGTCCACGTCCACGTCCACGTCCACAACCACGTCCACGTGCACGTGCACGTCCACGTCCATGTCCACGTCCACGTCCATGTCCATGTCCACGTCCATGTCTATGTCCACGTCCATGTCCACGTCCACGTCCACGTCCACGTCCACGTCCACGTCCATGTCTACGTCCAGGTCCACGTCCAGGTCCAGGTCCACGTCCACGTCCACTTCGACGTCCACGTCCACGTCCACGTCCACGTCCACGTCCACTGTCCACGTCTACGTCCACGTCCATTTCTACGTCCACAGTCCACGTCCACGTCCATTTCCACGTCCACGTCCACGTCCACGTCCACGTCCATTTCCACGTCCACGTTCCACGTCCACTTCCACGTCCACGTCCATGTCCACGTCCACGTCCACGTCCACGTCCACGTCCATTTCTACGTCCACGTCCACGTCCACTTCCACGTCCACGTCCATGTCCACGTCCACGCCCACGTCCACGTCCACGTCCACGTCCACGTCCATGTCTACGTCGAGGTCCACGTCCAGGTCCAGGTCCACGTCCACGTCCACTTCGACGTCCACGTCCACGTCCACGTCCACGTCCATGTCCACGTCCACGTCCACGTCCACGTCCACGTCCACGTCCATTTCTACGTCCACGTCCACGTCCACGTCCACGTCCATGTCCACGTCCACGTCCACGTCCATGTCCATGTCCACGTCCATGTCCATGTCCACGTCCACGTCCACGTCCACGTCCACGTCCACGTCCATTTCTACGTCCACGTCCACGTCCACGTCCACGTCTACGTCCATTTCGACGTCCACGTCCAAGTCCACGTCCACGTCCAGGTCCATGTCACGTCCACGTCCATGTCCATGTCCACGTCCATGTCCATGTCCACGTCCACGTCCACGTCCATGTCCATGTCCACGTCCACGTCCATGTCTACGTCCAGGTCCACGTCCAGGTCCAGGTCCACGTCCACATCCACTTCGACGTCCACATTCCACGTCCACGTCCACGTCCACGTCCATGTCCACGTCCACGTCCACGTCCACGTCCATTTCTACGTCCACGTCCACGTCCACGTCCATTTCCACGTCCACGTCCACGTCCACGTCCACGTCCACGTCTACGTCCACGTCCACGTCCATTTCTACGTCCACGTCCACGTCCACTTCCACGTCCACGTCCACGTCCACGTCCACGTCCATTTCTACGTCCACGTCCACGTCCACTTCCACGTCCACGTCCATGTCCACGTCCACGTCCACGTCCACGTCCACGTCCATGTCTACGTCCAGGTCCACGTCCAGGTCCAGGTCCACGTCCACGTCCACTTCGACGTCCACGTCCACTACGGCCACGTCCACGTCCATGTCCACGTCCACGTCCACGTCCACGTCCATTTCTACGTCCACGTCCACGTCCACGTCCACGTCCATGTCCACGTCCACGTCCATGTCCATGTCCATGTCCACGTCCATGTTCATGTCCACGTCCACGTCCACGTCCATGTCCACATCCACGTCCACGTCCATTTCTACGTCCACGTCCACGTCCACGTCCACGTCCACGTCCATTTCGACGTCCACGTCCACGTCCACGTCCACGTCCAGGTCCACGTCCACGTCCACGTCCATGTCCACGTCCCACCTCCACGTCCACGTCCACGTCTACCTCCACGTCCACGTCCACGTCCACTTCCACGTCCACGTCCACGTCCACTTTCACCTCCACGTCCACGTCCACGTCCACAACCACGTCCACGTCCACGTCCATTTCTACGTCCACGTCCATTTCTACGTCCACGTCCAGTTCTACGTCCACGTCCACGTCCACGTCCACGTCCACGTCCACGTCCATTTCGACGTCCACGTCCACGTCCACGTCCATTTCCACGTCCACGTCCACGTCCACGTCCACGTCCACGTCCATTTCTACGTCCACGTCCACGTCCACTTCCACGTCTACGTCCACGTCCATTTCTACGTCCACGTCCATTTCTACTTCACGTCCACGTCCACGTCCACGTCCACGTCCACGTCCATTTCGACATCCACGTCCACGTCCACGTCCATTTCCACGTCCACGTCCATTTCAACGTCCACGTCCACGTCCACGTCCACGTCCACGTCCAACAGTCCATTTCTACGTCCACGTCCACGTCCACTTCCACGTCCACGTCCATGTCCACGTCCACGTCCACGTCCACGTCCACGTCCATTTCTACGTCCACGTCCACGTCCACTTCCACGTCCACGTCCATGTCCACGTCCACGTCCACGTCCACGTCCACGTCCATGTCTACGTCCAGGTCCACGTCGAGGTCCAGGTCCACGTCCACGTCCACTTCGACGTCCACGTCCACGTCCATCACGTCCATGTCCATGTCCACGTCCACGTCCACGTCCACGTCCATTTCTACGTCCACGTCCACGTTCCACGTCCATGTCCACGTCCACGTCCCATGTCCATGTCCACGTCCATGTCCATGTCCACGTCCACGTCCACGTCCATGTCCACGTCCACGTCCACGTCCATTTCTAACGTCCACGTCCATTTCGACGTCCACGTCCACGTCCACAGTCCATTTCCACGTCCACGTCCACGTCCACGTCCACTTCCACGTCCATTTCTATGTCCACGTCCACGTCCACTTCCACATCCACGTCCATGTCCACGTCCACGTCCACGTCCACGTCCATTTCTACGTCACGTCCACGTCCACTTCCACGTCCACGTCCATGTCCACGTCCACGTCCACGTCCACGTCCATGTCTACATCCAGGTCCACGTCCATGTCCAGGTCCACGTCCACGTCCACTTCGACGTCCACGTCCACGTCCACGTCCACGTCCATGTCCACGTCCACGTCCACGTCCACGTCCACGTCCATTCTACGTCCACGGTCCACGTCACGTCCACGTCCACGTCCACGTCCATGTCCATGTCCACGTCCATGTCCACGTCCACGTCCACGTCCATGTCCATGTGTACGTCCACGTCCACGTCCATGTCTACGTCTACGTCCGCGTCCACGTCCACGGTCCATGTCCACGTCCATGTCCTCGTCCATGTCCACGTCCAGGTCCACGTCAGGTCCACATCCCGTCCACGTCCACTTCCACGTCCACGTCCACGTCCACGTCCAGGTCCACGTCTAGGTCCACGTCCAGGTCCACGTCCACGTCCAAGTCCACGTCCACGTCCACGACCACATCCACGTCCACGTCCACGTCCTCCACGTCCTCGTCCACGTCCTCCACGTCCTCGTCCACGTCCTCCACGTCCACGTCGTCCACGTCCACGTCCAAGACCACGTCCACGTCCATGTCCACGACCACGACCACGTCCATGTCCACGTCCACGTCCATGACCACGTCCACGTCCATGTCCACGTCCACGACCATGACACGTCCACGACCACGACCACGTTCACGTCCACGTCCACGTCCACGTCCACACACCACGTCCCCGTGCACGTCCAGGTCCACGTGCACGTGCACGTCCATTTGTACGTCCACGTCCATTTCTACGTCCACGTCCACGTCCACGTCCACGTCCACGTCCACATCCATGTCCACGTCCATGTCTACGTCCACGTCCACGTCTACGTCCACGTCCACGTCCACGTCCACGTCCACGTCCACGTCCACGTCCAATTCTACGTCCACGTCCACGTCCACGTCTACGTCCACGTCCATGTCCATGTCCACATCCATGTCCATGTCCACGTCCACGTCCATGTCCATGTGCACGTCCACGTCCACGTCCACGTCCATGTCCACGGTCCACGTCCACGTCCACGTCCACGTCCACGTCCAAGGCCACGTCCATGTCTACGTCCTCGTCCAGGTCCACGTCCAGGTCCACGTCCAGGTCCACGTCCAAGGTCCACGTCCACCTCCACGTCCACTTCCACGTCCACGTCCCGTCCACGTCCACGTCCTCCACGTCCTCGTCCACGTCCTCCACGTCCACGTCCACGTCTTCCACGTCCACGTCCTCCACGTCCACGTCCATGTCCACGACCACGACCAAGTCCATGTCCACGTCCACGTCCATGACCACGCCCACGTCCACGTCCACGTCCACGACCACGACCACGTCCACGTTCATGTCCACGTCCACGTCCACGACCACGTCCACGTCCACGTCCATGTCCACGTCCACGTCCACGTCCACGTCCACGTCCATGGTCTACGTCCAGGTCCACGTCCACGTCCACTTCGACGTTCCACGTCCACGTCCACGTCCACGTCCACGTCCACTTCCACGTCCACGTCCACGTCCATGTCCACGTCCACGTCCATGTCCACGTCCACGTCCACGTCCACGTCCACGTCCAAGTCCAAGGCTACGTCCATGTCTACGTCCACGTCCAGGTCCAGGTCCACGTCCACGTCCACTTCGACGTCCACGTCCACGTCCACGTTCCACGTCCACGTCCACGTCTTTCTACGTCCACGTCCACGTCCACGTCCATTTTCCACGTCCACATCCACGTCCACGTCCACGTCCACGTCCACGTCCATTTCCACGTCCACGTGTCCACGTCCACTCTCCACGTTCCACGTCCATGTCCACGTACACAGTCCACGTCCACGTCACGTCCATTTCTACGTCCACGTCCACGTCCACTTCCACGTCCACGTCCATGTCCACGTCCACGCCCCTCACGTCCACGTCACCGTCCACGTCATGTCTACGTCGAGGTCCACGTCCAGGTCCAGGTCCACGTCCACGTCCTCCTTCGACGTCCACGTCCACGTCCACGTCCACGTCCATGTCCACGTCCACGTCCACGTCCACGTCCACGTCCATTTCTACGTCCACGTCCACGTCCCCGTCACGTTCCATGTCCACGTCCACGGTCCACGTCCATGTCCATGTCCACGTCCATGTCCATGTCCACGTCCACGTCCACGTCCACGTACCAAGTCCACGTCCCATTTCCTACGTCCACGTCCACGTCCACGTCCACGTCCACGTCCACGTCCATTTCGACGTCCACGTCCACGTCCACGTCCACGTCCAGTCCATGTCACGTCCACGTCCACGTCCAGTCCATGTTCACGTCCACGTCCAGTCCACGTCCACGTCCACGTCCATGTCCACGTCCACGTCCACGTCCATGTCTACGTCCAGGTCCACGTCCAGGTCCAGTCCACGTCCACATCCACTTCGACGTCCACGTCCACGTCCACGTCCACGACCACGTCCACGTCCATGTCCACGTCCACGTCCACGTCCACGTCCACGTCCATTTCTACGTCCACGTCCACGTCATACGTCCACGTCCACGTCCACGTCCACGTCCACGTCCACGTCCACGTCCACGTCCACGTCCATTTCCACGTCCACGTCCACGTCCACGTCCACGTCCACGTCCACGTCCACGTCCACGTCCACGTCCACGTCCACGTCCATTTCTACGTCCACGTCCACGTCCACGTCCACGTCCACGTCCATGTCCATGTCCACGTCCACGTCCACGTCCACATCCACGTCCATGTCTACGTCCACGTCCACGTCCACGTCCACGTCCACGTCCACGTCCACTTCCACGTCCACGTCCACGTCCACGTCCACGTCCACGTTCACGTCCACGTCCACGTCCACGTCCACGTCCATTTCTACGTCCACGTCCACGTCCACGTCCACGTCCATGTCCACGTCCACGTCCCGTCCATGTCCATGTCCACGTCCATGTCATGTCCACGTCCACGTCCACGTCCATGTCCACGTCCACGTCCACGTCCATTTCTACGTCCACGTCCACGTCCACGTCCACGTCCACGTCCACGTCCATTTCCACGTCCACGTCCACGTCCACGTCCACGTCCAGGTCCACGTCCACGTCCACGTCCATGTCCACGTCCACGTCCACGTCCACGTCCACGTCTACGTCCACGTCCACGTCCACGTCCACGTCCACGTCCACGTCCACGTCCACTTCCACGTCCACGTCCACGTCCACGTCCACAACCACGTCCACGTCCACGTCCATTTCCACGTCCACGTCCATTTCACGTCCACGTCCAAGTTCCACGTCCACGTCCACGTCCACGTCCACGTCCACGTCCACGTCCATGTCGACGTCCACGTCCACATCCACGTCCATGTCCACGTCCACGTCCACATCCACGTCCACGTCCATGTCCACGTCCACGTCCACGTCCACGTCCACGTCTACGTCCACGTCCATTCCACGTCCACGTCCATTCCACTTCCACGTCCACGTCCACGTCCACGTCCACGTCCACGTCCACGTCCATTTCGACGTCCACGTCCACGTTTACGTCCATTTCACGTCCACGTCCATTCCACGTCCACGTCCACGTCCACGTCCACGTCCACGTCCACGTCCACGTCCATTTCTACGTCCACGTCCACGTCCACCTCCACGTCCACGTCCAGTCCACGTCCATGTCCACGTCCACGTCCATTTCTACGTCCACGTCCGTCCACGTCCACGTCCACGTCCATGTCCACGTCCACGTCCACGTCCACGTCCACGTCCATGTCTACAGTCCAGGTCCACAGCCGAGGTCCAGGTCACGTCCACGTCCACTTCGACGTCCACGTCCACGTCCACGTCCACGTCCACGTTCCACATCCATGTCCACGTCCACGTCCACGTCCACGTCCATTTCTACGTCCACGTCCACTGTCCACGTCCATCGTCCACTGTCCATGTCCACGTCCACGTCCACGTCCATGTCCATGTGTACGTCCACGTCCACGTCCATGTCTACGTCCACGTCCGCGTCCACGTCCACGTCCATGTCCACGTCCATGTCCTCGTCCATGTCCACGTCCAGGTCCACGTCTAGGTCCACGTCCACGTCCACGTCCACTTCCACGTCCACGTCCACGTCCACGTCCAGGTCCACGTCTAGGTCCACGTCCAGGTCCACGTCCACATCCAAGTCCACGTCCACGTCCACGACCACGTCCACGTCCACGTCACGTCCTCCAAGTCCTCGTCCACGTCCTCCACGTCCTCGTCCACGTCCTCCACGGTCCACGTCGTCCACGTCCACGTCCCAAGACCACGTCCACGTCCATGTCCACGACCACGACCACGTCCATGTCCACGTCCACGTCCATGACCACGGTCCACGTCCATGTCCACGTCCAACGACCATGACCACGTCCACGACCAAGACCACGTTCACGTCCAGTCCACCGTCCACAACCACGTCCACGTGCACGTCCAGGTCCACGTGCACGTGCACGTCCATTGTACGTCCACGTCCATTTCTACGTCCACGTCCACGTCCACGTCCACGTCCACATCCATGTCCACGTCCATGTCTACGTCCACGTCCACGTCAACGTCCACGTCCCGTCACGTCCACGTCCACGTTCCACGTCCACGTCCAATTCTACGTCCACGTCCACGTCCACGTCTACGTCCACGTCCATGGTCCATGTCCACTCCCTGTCCATGTCCACGTCCACGTCCATGTCCATGTGCACGTCCACGTCCACGTCCACGTCCATGGTCCACGTCCACGTCCACGTCCACGTCCACGTCCACGTCCACGTCCAAGGCCACGTCCATGTCTACGTCCTCGTCCAGGTCCACGTCCAGGTCAACGTCCAGGTCCACGTCCAGGTCCACGTCCACCTCCACGTCCACTTCCACGTCCACGTCCACGTCCACGTCCACGTCCTCCACGTCCTCGTCCACGTCCTCCACGTCCACGTCCACGTCCTCCACGTCCACGTCCTCCACGTCCACGTCCATGTCCACGACCACGACCACGTCCATGTCCACGTCCACGTCCATGACCACGGCCCACGTCCACGTCCACTTCCACGACCACGACCACGTCCACGTTCATGTCCACGTCCACGTCCATGTCCACGTCCACGTCCACGTCCACGTTCACGTCCACGTCCACGTCCATGTCTACGTCCATTGCCATGTGCACGTCCACGTCCACGTCTACGTTCATTTCTACGTCCACGTCCACGTCCAAATCCACGTCCACGTCCATGTCCACGTCCATCCAGTCCACGTCCACGTCCACGTCCACGTCCACGTCCACGTCCACGTCCACGTCCATGTCCACGTCCATGTCCATGTCCACGTCCACGTCCACGTCCATTCCACGTCCACGTCCACGTCCACGTCCACGTCCACGTCACGTCCACGTCCACGTCCATGTCCACGTCCACGTCCACGTCCATGTCCACGTCCATGTCCACGTCCATGTCCACGTCCATGTCCACGTCCACGTCCATGTGTCCACGTCCACGTCCATGTCCACGTCCACGTCCATGTCCACGTCCACGTCCATGTCCACGTCCATGTCCACGTCCACGTCCACGTCCACGTCCACGTCCATGTCCACGTCCACGTCCACGTCCACGTCTATGTCTACGTCCACGTCCACGTCCACGTCCATGTCCACGTCCACGTCCATGTCCATGTCCACGTCCAAGTCCACGTCCATGTCCACGTCCATGTCCACGTCCACGTCCACGTCCATGTCCACGTCCACGTCCACGTCCACGTCCACGTCCACGTCCATGTCCACGTCCACGTCCACGTCCACGTCCACGTCTATGTCCACGTCCATGTCCACGTCCATGTCCACGTCCATGTCCACGTCCACGTCCACGTCATGTCCACGTCCATGTCCACGTCCATGTCACGTCCATGTCCACGTCCACGTCCACGACCACGTCCACGACCACGTCCACGTCCACGTCCATGTCCACGTCCACGTCCATGTCCACCGTCCACGTCCACGTCTACGTCCATTTCTACGTCCACGTCCACGTCCATTTCCAGTCCACGTCCACGTCCACGTCCATGTCCACGTCCACGTCCATGTCCACGTCCACGTCCACGTCCATGTCCACGTCCATGTCCACGTCCACGTCCACGTCCACGTCCACGTCCACGTCCACGTCCACGTCCATGTCCACGTCCATGTCCACGTCCACGTCCACGTCCATGTCCACGTCCCTGTCCACGTCCACGTCTACATCCACGTCCATGTCCACGTCCACGTCCATGTCCACGTCCACGTCTACGTCCATTTCTACGTCTACGTCCACGTCCATTTCCACGTCCACGTCCACGTCCACGTCCATGTCCACGTCTACGTCCATGTCCACGTCCATGTCCACGTCCATGTCCACGTCCACGTCCACGTCCAGGTCCACGTCCACGTCCACGTCCACGTCCATTTCTACGTCCACGTCCATGTCCACGTCCACGTCCATGTCCACGTCCACGTCCACGTCCACGTCCATATCCACGTCCACGTCCACGTCCACGTCCACGTCCATGTCCACGTCCACTTCCATTTCTACGTCCACGTCCACGTCCACGTCCATGTCCACGTCCACGTCCACGTCCACGTCCATGTCCACGTCCACGTCCACGTCCACGTCCATGTCCACGTCCACGTCCACGTCTACGTCCACGTCCACGTCCACGTCCATGTCCACGTCCACGTCCACGTCCACGTCCATGTCCACGTCCACGTCCATGTCCACGTCCACGTCCATGTCCACGTCCATGTCCACGTCCACGTCCACATCACGTCCATGTCCACGTCCACGTCCACGTCCACGTCCACGTCCACGTCCACGTCCACGTCCAAGTCCACGTCCACGTCCACGTCCACGTCCACGTCCATGTCCATGTCCACGTCCATGTCCACGTCCACATCCACGTCCATGTCCACGTCCACGTCCACGTCCAGTCCACGTCCACGTCCACGTCTACGTCCACGTCCACGTTTACGTCTACGTCCACGTCCATTCCACGTCCACATCCATGTCCATTTCTACGTCCACGTCCACGTCCACGTCCATGTCCACGTCCACGTCCACGTCCCGCGTCCACGTCCACGTCCACGTCTACGTCCACGTCCACGTCCATGTCTACGTCCACGTCCACGTCCCACGTCCACGTCCACGTCCACGTCCATGTCCACGTCCACGTCCACGTCCACGTCCACATCCACGTCCACGTCCACGTCCACGTCCACGTCCATGTCCACGTCCACGTCCAGGTCCACGTCCACGTCCACGTCCTCGTCCACGTCCACGTCCACGTCCACGTCACCACGTCCACGTCCCCCACGTCCACGTCCATTCTACGTCCACGTCCATGTCCACGTCCACGTCTACGTCCATGTCCACGTCCACTCCACGTCCATTTCTACGTCCTTGTCCATGTCCACGTCCACCTCCACGTCCACGTCCACGTCCACGTCCACGTCCACGTCCACGTCCACGTCCATGTCCACGTCCACGTCCACGTCCACGTCCACGTCCACGTCCATGTCCACGTCCACGTCCACGTCCATGTCCACGTCCACGTCCACGTCCACGTCCACGTCCACGTCCACGTCCACGTCCACGTCCACGTCCACGTCCACGTCCACGTCCATGTCCACGTCCACGTTCACGTCCCACGTCCACGTCCATGTCCACGTCCACGTCCATGTCCACGTCCACGTCCACGTCCAGGTCCACGTCCAGGTCCACGTCCAGGTCCACGTCCACGTCCACGTCCACATCCACGTCCACGTCCACGTCCACGTCCACGTCCACGTCCACGTCCTCATCGTCCTCGTCCACGTCCTCCACGTCCTCGTCCACGTCCTCCACGTCCACGTCGTCCACGTCCACGTCCACGACCACGTCCACGTCCATGTCCACGACCACGACCACGTCCATGTCCACGTCCATGACCACGTCCACGTCCACGTCCACGTCCACGATCACGACCACGTCCACGACCACGACCACGTCCACGTTCACGTCCACATCCACGTCCACGTCCACGTCCACGTGCACGTCCAGGTCCACGTCCATTTCTACGTCCACGTCCATTTCTACGTCCACGTCCACGTCCACGTCCATGTCCACGTCCTCGTCCACGTCCACGTCCAGGTCCACGTCCAGGTCCACGTCCAGGTCCACGTCCACCTCCAGGTCCACGTCCATGGTCCACGTCCAGGTCCACGTCCACGTCCACGTCCTCCACCACGTCCACGTTCCACGTCCACGTCCACGTCCACGTCCACGACCACGTCCACGTCCATGTCCACGTCCACGACCACGTCCATGTCCACGTCCACGTCCATGTCCACGCCCACGTCCACGTCCACGTCCATGTCCACGTCCACGTCCACGTCCACGTTCACGTCCACGTCCACGTCCATGTCCACGTCCATTTCCATGTGCACGTCCACGTCCACGTCCACGTTCCATTTCTACGTCCACGTCCACGTCCAGTCCACGTCCATGTCCACGTCCATGTCCACGTCCATGTCCACGTCCACGTCCACGTCCACGTCCACGTCCATGTCCACGCCCACGTCCACGTCCATGTCCACGTCCACGTCCACGTCCACGTTCCACGTCCACGTCCACGTCCATGTCCACGTCCATTCCATGTGCACGTCCACGTCCACGTCCACGTTCATTTCTACGTCCACGTCCACGTCCACGTCCACGTCCACGTCCACGTCCACGTCACGTCCACGTCTACGTCCACGTCCATTCTACGTCCACGTCCACGTCCATGTCCATGTCCACGTCTACGTCCACGTCCACTCCATGTCCACGTCCACGTCCACGTCCATGTCCACGTCCACGTCCATGTCCACGTCCACGTCCATGTCCACGTCCATGTCCACGTCCATGTCCACGTCCACGTCCACGCATGTCCACGTCCACGTCCACGTCCACGTCCACGTTTCCTACCTCCACGTCCATGTCCACGTCCACGTCCACGTCCACGTCCACGTCTACGTCCACGTCCATGTCCACGTCCACGTCCATGTCCACGTCCACGTCCACGTCTACGTCCATTTCTACGTCCACGTCCACGTCCATTTCCACGTCCACGTCCACGTCCACGTCCACGTCCATGTCCACGTCCACGTCCATGTCCACGTCCACGTCCATGTCCACATCCATGTCCACGTCCATGTCCACGTCCACGTCCACGTCCACGTCCACGTCCACGTCCACGTCCATTTCTACGTCCACGTCCATGTCCACGTCCACGTCCATGTCCACGTCCACGTCCACGTCCATTTCTACGTCCACGTCCACGTCTTCGTCCACGTCCACGTCCACGTCCACGTCCACGTCCATGTCCACGTCCACGTCCATGTCCACGTCCACGTCCACGTCCAGGTCCACGTCCAGGTCCACGTCCAGGTCCACGTCCACGTCCACGTCCACGTCCATGTCCACGTCCACGTCCACGTCTACGTCCACGTCCACGTCCTCCACGTCCTCGTCCACGTCCTCCACGTCCTCGTCCACGTCCTCCACGTCCACCTCGTCCACGTCCACGTCCACGACCACGTCCACGTCCATGTCCACGACCACGACCACGTCCATGTCCACGTCCACGTCCATGACCACGTCCACGTCCACGTCCACGTCCACGATCACGACCACGTCCACGACCACGACCACGTCCACGTTCACGTCCACATCCACGTCCACGTCCACGTCCACGTCCACGTGCACGTCCAGGTCCAAGTCCATTCTACGTCCACGTCCATTCTACGTCCACGTCCACGTCCATGTCCACGTCCTCGTCCACGTCCACGTCCAGGTCCACGTCCAGGTCCACGTCCAGGTCCACGTCCACCTCCAGGTCCACGTCCAGGTCCACGTCCAGGTCCACGTCCACGTCCACGTCCTCCACCACGTCCACTCCACGTCCACGTCCACGTCCACGTCCACGTCCACGACCACGTCCACGTCCATGTCCACGACCACGACCACGTCCATGTCCACGTCCACGTCCATGTCCACGCCCACGTCCACGTCCACGTCCATGTCCACGTCCACGTCCACGTCCACGTTCACGTCCACGTCCACGTCCATGTCCACGTCCATTTCCATGTGCACGTCCACGTCCACGTCCACGTTCATTTCTACGTCCACGTCCACGTCCACGTCCACGTCACGTTCATTTCTACGTCCACGTCCACGTCCACGTCCACGTCCACGTCCATGTCCACGTCCATGTCCACGTCCACGTCCACGTCCACGTCCACGTCCATGTCCACGTCCACGTCCACGTCCATCTCCACGTCCACGTCCACGTCCACGTTCACGTCCACGTCCATGTCCACGTCCATTTCCATGTCCACGTCCACGTCCACGTCCCGTTCATTTCTACGTCCACGTCCACGTCCACGTCGACGTCCACGTCCAGTCCATGTCCACGTCTACGTCCACGTCCATTCAACGTCCACGTCCACGTCCACGTCCACGTCCATGTCCACGTCCACGTCCACGTCCACGTCCACGTCCATGTCCACGTCCACGTCCACGTCCACGTCCACGTCCATGTCCACGTCCACGTCCATGTCCACGTCCACGTCCATGTCCACGTCCATGTCCACGTCCATGTCCACCACGTCCACGTCCACGTCACGTCCACATCCACGTCCACGTCCACGTCCACGTCTACCTCCACGTCCATGTCCACGTCCACGTCCATGTCCACGTCCACGTCCACGTCTACGTCCATTTCTACGTCCACGTCCACGTCCATTTCCACGTCCACGTCCACGTCCACGTCCGTCCACGTCCACGTCCATGTCCACGTCCACGTCCATGTCCACGTCCATGTCCACGTCCATGTCCACGTCCACGTCCACGTCCATGTCCACGTCCACGTCCACGTCCACGTCCACGTCCATTTCTACGTCCACGTCCATGTCCACGTCCACGTCCATGTCCACGTCCACGTCCACGTCCATTTCTACGTCCACGTCCACGTCCACGTCCACGTCCACGTCCACGTCCACGTCCACGTCCACGTCCACGTCCACGTCCACGTCCATTTCCACGTCCACGTCCATGTCCACGTCCACGTCCACGTCCATGTCCACGTCCACGTCCACGTCCATGTCCACGTCCACGTCCACGTCCACGTCCACGTCCATGTCCACGTCCACGTCCACGTCCATGTCCACGTGCAGGAGCATGTCCACGTGTACGTCCACGTCCATGTCCACGTCCACGTCCACGTCCATGTCGACGTCCATGTCCATTCCACGTCCATGTCCACGTCCATGTCCACGTCCACGTCCACGTCCACGTCCACGTCCACGTCCACGTCCATGTCCACGTCTACGTCCACGTCCATTCTACGTCCATGTCCATTTCTACGTCCACGTCTACGTCCATGTGTCCACGTCCACGTCCATGTCCACGTCCACGTCCACGTCCACGTCCATGTCCACGTCCACGTCCACGTCCACGTCCACGTCCACATCCACGTCCACGTCCACGTCCATGTCCACGTCCACGTCCACGTCCATTTCTACGTCCACGTCCATGTCCACGTCCACGTCCAAGTCCATGTCCACGTCCACGTCCACGTCCATTTCTACGTCTTGTCCATGTCCACGTCCACCTCCACGTCCACGTCCACGTCCACGTCCATGTCCATGTCCACGTCCACGTCCATGTCCACGTCCACGTCCACGTCCACGTCCATGTC